ATGGTTTTGCATACAGTTATTGGATTTATGACTATCTAGAAACATATTTTTCTCTTAGAGCAGACAGCCTGGTTATGATAATAGTTTTTTTTTTTTTTGTCTTTGTTCATTGGCTGTTCAATGTGGTATTTAAATTAATATGAGCTGGTTGTGACTTGTGATGGTGTCCTAAGTTAATATTTCATTTTTACCATTACTATCTGAATTACAATTTGGATGGCAAAATTACAGATTTTTTTAACGACTCTTTATCTACTCCTTTCTGACGATCCTCATGGTGACAAGGTTGACTAGTGTGGAGCTTTTATCATTATTATTTCCTTGCAGTCATCATCATGTATGAGAGGCAGGGGGACAAATGACAATGACAGAGGGTGAGAGAGACCGGATGGAGGAGAGTAAAGCAAGTATGGTGTCAATAAATGGATTCAAGCAGATGAGGGGGCAAAGAAAAGGATTAGGATGTAAAGGAAGTATTGAATAGGACAGGGAAATAGGTCGGATGTGTTGCTTTTGAGAGAGCTGGAGTGTATTTAGAGTAAGGATTAGGATGTAAAGGAAGTATTGAATAGGACAGGGAAATAGGTCGGATGTGTTGCTTTTGAGAGAGCTGGAGTGTATTTAGAGTAAGGATTGTGTTCTTATAGGAATTGACTGCAAATCCAAGGGCATATTTTAACTTTTTAGTTCATGTGGTAACGGTTGAGTCAACATTGTGAAATCTTACTAGACCATCACGTTATATTTTCAGCAATGACAGATATTCTCTGTCATTACAGGTGAGAGAGACCGGATGGAGGAGAGTAAAGCAAATATGGTGTCAATAAATGGATTCAAGCAGATGAGGGGGCAAAGAAAAGGATTAGGATGTAAAGGAAGTATTGAATAGGACAGGGAAATAGGTCAGATGTGTTGCTTTTGAGAGAGCTGGTGGGTATTTAGAGTAAGGATTGTGTTCTTATAGGAATTGACTGCAAATCCAAGGGCATATTTTAACTTTTTAGTTCATGTGGTAACGGTTGAGTCAACATTGTGAAATCTTACTAGACCATCACGTTATATTTTCAGCAATGATCAGATATTCTCTGTCATTACAGGTGTTTCCTCATTAATTTTTTGTTTTTCCAGACACCTTGAACTTATAAGATCTTTTGAATACTTGGTTCGTCGGATATTTACCAGAAATTATTTATTTATCTTTGCATTTATTATCCAACGTATGGTTTTGGCAATTTTAGGTTATTGAAGACCAGAAACTTCTAAGGGAGAAAGTACGACACCTGAGTGGCAATGCTGGTATTGAAAGAATGGAAAGTGCTTTATCAGATACAAGGTTCAAATTCTTTGAAGCAAAAGAGAATGGAAGCCCTTTAGCAACCCCTCTTGCTCATATTTCATCAACTTCAGCATCTAAGTCTCTGGGGAAACAATTGGTTTCCGTGTCTCATGAGCACAATGTTGAGATTAAAGGGAGATCAAATCGTGTGGTTCGTTCTCTGTTTGGAATTTCATCTTCCATGCAGCCCCGGGTTGGTACAGAAGTTCAAAATGTAGATGTTCAATCCAGTTGCACAGTGGGAACACAGTCGTCACCCACGGAGAATGAACTCCTTGTGAATGAAATAATGCATTGGGGCCATGGATCATTTTCTAGTAATCCTGACACTATCAAATCTGAAGAGATTGGTATCAAGGTAATTGTAATCTTCCTCCAAAATTTGACATTTAAAAGATTTGAGTTTTATCTACGAGCCATCTCATAACACATGAAAGTGACTAGTTTGTGTTTTATGTAAGCCATCTCATAACATACGACAATATTTGTAAAAATATTTTTGATATACTTATATAGAGATTTAACTTCTGAACTATTAAGTTCTTTGAGAATGATCAGTGGTGCACTGTGGGTTTTGTTTCACATAATGTGGCACTCATTTGGTTTTTCTTTTTTCTCTTATTTCTTTCCAATATATTGGTTCATGTCATTAAATCTATTGCAGATAGTTGTTCTACTGTCCTCTGAGGTTGATCTCCGATGTATTATATTTTGTTGGGCCATTAATTGATTCTGTTTCATGGTTTTTCATTCTTACAGATTAAAGAGACAATGGAGAAAGCATTTTGGGATGGAATATTGGATTCTTTGAAGACAGGCAGACCTGACTATGGTAGAATACTAGGCCTTGTGAAGGAGGTACGAGATGAGTTATGTGATTTGGCTCCACAGAGTTGGAAGCAAGATATTCTCAATAGTATTGACCTTGACATTCTATCTCAGGTATATCCTCAATCAATTAGATGTTAAACTAAATGTGTTGGTACTTGTTTTCATTTATACCCTCTTTTAACATGTCACACTTATTGGTCCACTACAATATTTGATCCTTGTATTGATGTCCAACTTCAAGCTCACAATTTTCTTATTTGGTCAAAGGTCCTTGACTCAGGCTCTCAGGATATAGATTATTTTGGAAATATTCTAGAGAATGTGCTGGTCATGCTGCAGAAACTCTCTTCTCCTGCAAATGAAGATGACATGAGAAAAGCCCACCAGAAGATGTTGAATAGTTTGACAGATATTGCTCGATCCAGTGACAAACAGAGTAACTCTTTTGTTGTTGCCTCGATCAAGGGTCTGCGTTTTGTTTTGGAACAAATACAGGTTAGATTCTTGGATCATTCAGCGAAGTACTTTAGTGGTTACCAACTACTATATTCTCAATGAAAAAAATATTTTTATATTTTATCAATTTAATTGATTGTATCATCCTTGAACTTTTCTAGATGCATTAGTCTCTTCAGATTTGTCAATTTCTTTAAACATAATATTTACATGACATTTGAATCTCCTACTGTCAACGCTAATGAATATTTATTTTGAATGGAGTCAAAAAACCTTCTTATCTTCGTTAGAGAGGATTCTGAGAATATGGACTGGTATCCTGTTCTGAATAATTTCAACACACACACACACGTATATATATATAATTTCAACATAATATACCTAATGCTCTTTGGGGTTTTTATATTTTGTTAGACAGGAAACCTTATCTTTGATGTCTGATGAACTTCTAGACTTTATGCAACAAAGACATGAACCGATGCTTTATGATAGTGCTCACTGGAAAGCCTGGTTTTTGGAATTTGTGCACTTATAAATGTTGTCATACTTTTCAAAAAATTGAATTAAGTGTTCTTTTGACAGACACTGAAAAAGGAAGTCAGTGTAGCCCGTATAAAGTTGATGGAACCACTCATCAAGGGATCTGCAGGGTTGGAGTATTTGCAGAAGGCATTCACTGACAGCTATGGATCTCCTCTTGAAGCTGCTAATTCTCTTCCAGCAACTCTTCGTTGGTTATCCCCATTAAGCAATAGTTTGGAAGAGGAATGGAATGAGCATATTGATCTCTGTTCTATTTTCTTGGCAAATCATGTGAGCTCTTTTATCTCTATAAAATTGGCCTTTGCTCATATCGTGTTACCATAAATGTTCTACTAAAGTGTAGCTGGACATACTTAATCCAGGGTCTTCCTGTCACTGCTGTTCGAACAGGTGGTGGCCTTTCAGCATCATCAAAACAGCATGATGGTCTTTTTAATGCTTCAGGTAGATTTTTTTAATAAATGAGACTTACAATATTTCTGACAAAGTAGTTGTGGGTCTAGTTCAGTAGTGATGTACATCTGCACTATGTTTGGTCACAATTTTAAACAGCACAATCGGCATTGATCTTTCTTCTTAGCAGGTGTTGATGAACTACCAGAGTGCAATGGAGAAATGGTGGACAAGTTGGTAAGGATTGGTTTGCTAAAACTTGCAAGCGCGATAGAGGGATTGACAATTGAGACCATCCCCGAAACTCTTAAACTTAATGTTTTGAGATTAAGAACTGTTCAGAGTCAATTCCAGAAGATAATTGTCATCGCAACAAGGTGCGGTTTTGCTGCTTATTCCTTGAAGTTTTGCTTTGTATTAGTAAATAAAATGGTCTGAAGTTAGAAATTTTCCTTCTGTTATTTATCGCACTGATCATCGTATGCAGCATTTTGGTCCTTCGACAAGTTCTCCTCAGTGAGAAATCTGTTGCGTCTTCGGAGTTGGAAGCTGTAATATTAAAAACTGTTAAAGGGCTCTCAGAGCTCTTGAAAAGTTCACCTGATGTGGGTGTCGAAGATATTATTGAGGTGGTGGTGAGATCATCAAGCTCATACTCAAATACCTCTTCGGAAACAAAGCTCCAGAGCAGAAAGGAGATGATGGCAGGAATGCTTACAAAAAGTTTGCAAAACGATAATGCTGTCTTCGCAAAGGTTTCACGGTCGATCTATTTGGCAGCACGAGGAGTCGTACTTGGTGGGAGCGGGGCCCGGGGGAGGAAACTGGCAGATGCAGCGCTCAAGCGAGTCGGGGCCACGATGCTCTCTGACCAAGTGGTTAATGTGGGCAACGTGCTTATTATGATGGCGATCGTCACTGGCCGTGTTCATGACCCATGGTATAGGGTCCTGGTATGAAGATTTAGTGGACTAGTCAGTGTCTTGTATCTAAGGAAATAGAATAAAGACTTCTAATCTGGATTTGTGGGAAAGACCTGCAAATTATGATGTTCATAATTCATCTAGTGTAGGACTTGAGTTTCAAAATTGTTGCCAATGGTTCCTTACCCATCTTCTTTGGGCTTTTGGTGACTCGAACATCGCAAAATGTGGTGAGGAAGAATCTCCGTATTTTGATGTACATAACCGTGGAAAGATGTGGTGTATATCAATGTGAATTTGTCACTTATTTCACTTCTTCCTCTTTACAGGTTTGTGTATGCCAATAGTGATACTCTCTCTCTCTAGTCATCCTGTCATTACACTATATTGAAGGTCTCTTGCAACACTAGGAGACTGGCTATCTCCAGGAAAGACAGCAAAAAGATTTGGAGGCAGGTTTTTGTATGCCAATGGTGATTCTCTCTCTTAGTCATCATGTATCATTACACTATTTTTAGCAATTATATGAACCTGAAGATCTAGTTGAGAAGTGAATTTGAAGTCCTTCCACATTCTGAGGCTATCTATTATACACATTTGGAGGTTTCCATGGTGTTGTTGGATGCAACCCATCACATAGACTCAGGACATGTACTTGGAAGATACAATGTGGAGGCAAAAGAAGAGGTTTTGGATGCTCGAACACATTGAGGGCAGAGAGAGAAGCAGTTGTCTCTTTATCTTTCTCCTCTTTGTTCTGGTGTGAGTCCTCCTTTGCCGCAGCTGGGGCAGCTCTTGAGACCAAATCCTTGGCAGTCAAAGCACCTGAGACATTTGAAGTCAGGTGAAGCAGTAGGCCATGATTAAATGGTGATCCAAAAATGAATCGAGTCATTTACTTACTTCCATCTCTCGAAGATGTTCCCATTCTTCTTGTTCTTTCCTGTTCCCTGCAGTCAATATGGCACTGGATGAGTTCAGATTTTTTTTTTCCTCTACAGATCCTTCACGTCTTGTTTCTGCCTTTCTCTCTACCTTAAACCATGCTGAAGAAAGAAAACTTGAAAGCATTTAATTTTGGTCTGGAAACACAAAAGCTGCATGGATGATTGCATCATGATAGATAAACAGCATGGCTGGTGAGGCAGATTATACTTTTCCTACCATGAAACATGATGTGTGTTCTCTTTCTACACTTTAAACAGGTTAGTGATTGCAGTCTGACCTTACACCCAGGGCATTCAATTGCACCTTTTCCACCGCATTTTTGACATCCTTTCGATACCTAAAAGAAATCAGTTTATCCAATTGATATTACATAAAAAAATATTTATTTGATTTTAGTTTGTAGAAAATTATCCTATGTTCTGCATCATAGGCCACAAATTATCAAAAAATTATCCAATTGTTCTTCATGCACAAGGTTGAACTTGTTTACAGATTTTGACATCATTCAGTACTAATCAGAGTGATTTTTTTTTCTTCTTTGAAATGAAGATAAAATTAAATACATACTTTTTGCTCTTTGAGAAAAAGGAAGCATACATACAGGTTTGACAGACACAGCCCCATATTTTGATGCAGAGACTCCACTCCTCTTTGCCCTTGTTTGCCATGGGTGAGGACATGGTTGTGGATGACTTCTCAGGGAGGGTACTGTGGCTATCTCCATGACTTATTATGTCTGCCTCCAACTTTTTTTTGCTGTCTTTCCTATTTCGACAATTGATTAGGGAGTATGATATTTATTGTTATCAACAGCAGGAGCCACAAGTTTTGGCCACTGGTCTCCCCCTTCTTATCTTCCTTCAGATACTTTTATCCACACAGCTTGGATGTGGTGCACATTCCACTACTTCCAACAGTTCAAGGAAGAGACTGTGATGTAAGCTTGTTGCTTTTACTTGACCATTCTAAAATTCAATTGAGCATACACTTGAATTATGTTTACATGACTCAATTGCACACCTTGAATTACTCTGCCTATACTATTAATGTAGTATTTCTGAAGCCAACATGGTAAGAATCAATTCAGTTCATCAATGTCATATCATTGTTCTTGTCAGGGATGACATTAAGATATTCTTTAAACAATTCAACAAAGCTAACTACAATAACAAAAAATAAATAAATATAATGCACTTGTAACAAGTCAAAAACCTAGTAGAAAGTCTAAAGACCTAACATAAGAAGATAAGCAAGTGTGGCAGGTGTTGGCCAAGAAGGATTCTTTATTTTTCTTTCCCCCTCTTGTTCACTGCCATTCAAACTCAATAATTCTCTTCCAAAAACTACTAATCATCTGACATACTTCTAAAATACAAGGATTAAAGTACCTTAAGAGCACACAAACCAAACCATATCATGATCATGATCATGATCAGATCTTAAAGGAACTCATTGGCAGAATGAGATTGCTGTACTTCAAGTGTACCACCATCTTCTTCTTCTTCACTGTAGGTTCTAGAGAACTGTACTACACTTCTCCCACCTGCTGCTGCTGCTTAATTACATGTTTAGGTGTGATGGAAGTTGTCCTTTGACATTCCATGCATTCACAAACTCTAACTTTGATTTGTAAACACCATGCATCAATTTTTCTTTCCTTGCTGTGCCAGGACTCTTCACAGATTGGAAAGGAAGAGGAAATGTCTGAAACCCTTGACATGGATGATGGAAGGCATTATATAATTGTGGATGGATGCCACAATAATTAGTATAATGGAAGGAAGAGAGTTTCTTTAGAATATATACAATTAATCAAAACAATAATTTTAAAAACTCATAAGAGCAGGCAGATCATAATACATCTTTTATGCTTATTAGCATAAGCTAACAGAAGTTAATATTATAATTTTGTATTTTGTTTTTGTTTTATTTACAATGACATTTTTTTATTTTTTGACATTAGGATGATAAATAATCATGGTTTAGGAGGTAACACCTCACTCTCATGTGGTGCAATCCAAATCAAGAGCTTATTTAATAGTTTTGGTAATTAGGTGAAGTATTTTACTCCTTGAAGAAGAAGAAGAAGAATATGACACAGAACACATGTATATTAATTATTATTGTATTCATGCACCAAATGATTGCAAAAAAGAATACATAATTGGAAACTCAACCTACTAAAAGATTGCAATTTGTCCTACATAAATTTGCAGCCCAACTTCACATCATCAACTTGGTCAAGACAGACAAAGAAGCTATTGTCTGACATGTGACTTCTACTGTCAATTATTTGTTTTGCACCACCTCTTCTCTTCTTCTTCCTCCTCCTTTCTGTTAGGCACACACATTAATTACTTTGTGTCAATCTTTTATATAGTCTTCATTATTTCCAATGCAGGAAAGAATAAGAAGAAAAAGTTGGTACAACTCAACTAACCCAATGTCACATCCACACCATCTCCCACAAAAAAAAATAAAAATCAAAATAATTAGAGATCCAAATTGAGAAAAAAATTAATAATAATTATTATTATTATTATTCAACCAACTGTTCACATCCCTCAATTAATGAATAGTTGCATTACAAGAGAAAAGAAAATTATATTGAACCAATGGAGAACCCCACCCGGTTCAATTGATCAAATGGACCGGACCGTGGTGGACCGCGACAGAGACGCGCTCGGCGGCTCGCAAGCGTCCAGCGAGCGTTCGAGCCCGTCGACGACCTCCGTCATGGTCGGCCGCTCCCGCCCCTCCGGGCTCACGCAGTCGATTGCCAGGTAGCCGACGTAGGTGACCGCCTCGATCTCGCTCGGCTTCGGCGTTGGCACCCTCGGGTCGAGTACCCGGTGGACGTCGTCGGCCGCGATGTGCGGCATGGCGAACTCCACCACGTTCCTCGGCGTGCCGCTGTCCTCGTTCTGGTGGATCACTCTGCAGCCCGTCAGCAGCTCCAGCAGCACGACTCCGAAGCTGTAGACGTCGCTCTTGGCGGTGAGGTGCTGCAGCCGGTAGTACTCGGGGTCCATGTAGCCGACCGTGCCAGCGGCCCGGTCCGGAGGGTGGTAGTCCGGTCTGCGCTCGTCTTCGACCGGGCTCATCAGGGAGAGGCCGAAGTCGGAGACCTTCGCCGTCCAGGTTTCGTCGAGCAGGATGTTGGAGGACTTGATGTCGCGGTGGATGATGGGCGGGACGGCGTAGGTGTGGAGGTACTCGAGGCCGCGTGCGGCGTCGAGGGCGACGCGGAGGCGCGCCCCCCACGACCCGAGGGTCGCGCCCGGTAGCCGGTGGAGGTGGTCGTGGAGCGAGCCGTTGGCCATGAACTCGTACACGAGCACGCGCTCCGGCCCCTGGTTGCAGTAGCCCAGCAGGCGCACCAGGTTCTTGTGGTTCACGCGGGAGAGGAGGGCGAGCTCGGAGAGGAACGCCGACTCCTTGTCAGGGCGCTTGTTCTCGGCGGGGCCCGGGGCCGTGGTCGACGACGACGCCGACGTCTCGGCCCGCTTGATGGCCACGACGCGGCCGTCGTCCAGGGTGGCGCGGTAGACCGACCCGAAGCTGCCGGAGCCGACCTTTTGGGACTCTGCGAAGTTGTCGGTCGCGGCGAGGAGGACCGACAACGGGAACTCCTCCACCATGGCGCTATGTCCTCTGCAAAACAACGAGCTAAATCGGCATTCGATAGGCGCGTGTAAGCCTCCCGAGCCGTGCGGCCTCGCGAGCGCGGACGGGAGGCCCGGAGCTAGCGGCCGCCTCGCCGCGCCGGAGTCATGTATGCGGCCGTTGCATCGAGCGAAGTAGAGCAAACAGAGGATCAATGTCACGAGCCCGATGGCGAACCCGACGGAGCCGATAACCACGAAAACCGTCTTCCTTCTACGAGGAGTCGCAGCTGCGTTTGGAGATGCCGGAGGAGGTGGAGGAGGAAGAGGTGCTCTCGGACTACTCGCTTCTCTCCCGAGCTCGCAGAGAGAGCAGACGACGCGGCCATTGGCGCACAACTGGCCGGAGCCTTCCAGGGGACCGCAGCGACAACTAGACGTCGGCATACAGGTGCCAGGCAACACGCCCTCGAAGACCACCGGTTTGTGGCAGAAGACGGCGCTTCCCCAACAGGCCAAGGAATAGTTGATCCTGAGAATTCCACAGATCGTACTGCCCTTCGCATGAATCGCCACGAACTCGGTGTTGGCGAGGCTGGACGGCAAACTGGAATTATCTCCCCAGCACATTACTCCTCCATGGCTGCCGAGCGCGCACGTCTTGTTCTCCCCCAGTGCCAACGAGCTGATCCTGATTGGAATTACTCCCACCTCCGGCTTGCCCGCTCCCCAGCACACCAGCTTGCCGTCCCCGGTGACCGCGCAGGCGTGCCGGGTGCCAGCGGCGACAGTGGAATAAGTCCCTGGCGGCTCCTGGCCCACGACACCGATGTCATTTCCAAAGCATGCGATCTCCCGGCTCAACAGCAGCCCGCAAACGAAGTCGCCGCCGACGGCGATATCAGAGAAGTACACGCCCTCGGGAAAGGTGAACTGGTTCCAGCGCCAGCAAGTGGGACGGGGGAGGCTGCCGCCTCGGACGCCGCAAACATGCGTGTCTCCGGCGGAGAGATCGGCTAAGGGCGGCCCGCTGTAGACCCTCCTGTAGTCCGGCGGCCAGCCGTTGTAGGACTCCTGATACAAGTCCCACCAGACCATGGTGGAGACGTCCGTGGACAGGCTGAGCAAGCACAGGAATCCATCTCCACCAGCGATGGCAAAGGAGGAGATGGGGCCCGACCTGTAAATACGTCGGTGCCCCGTTGGCAGGCTGGTGCAACTCAGGTCGTATCCTCTGTTGGCATTCGGTCGAACGACGGCGCAAACCACTACAACGTTCGAGATACGGGAGATTGCTACTGTTGACAGAGAAGCTGCAATGCTTGGAGAAGAGATGGCGACAAGAAGAAGCAGCAGGAGGAAGCGTAGGAAGAAGCTTGGAGGAAGCATTGGCAGAGAAAGGCGGTCAAGATGGTACAGTATCTCATCGTATCAGAGAGAGGTCGAAGAATAGATCGATCGTGTGTTGGATTTCTTGGGGAAGAAGAGGATGGAGAAGGCAACGAACGCGGCTTTAGGCGTGTCAAAATGACTGTAGACAAAGTCCACTTCAAGCTTCGAGTAAGAGTCAATGTGGAATTACCCTTCCTAAGCTCCTTTCAACCACCATGTCTGACTGACTCTTTCCTTCCTTCTGGTTAGGTTTGGTGTCAACAAGAATCTTGAAATGATCTGACAACTCTCGCACAGAGACCAAGCTGGCATCTGCATGACACACAGAGAAGACCGGCATCGGCATCGCTATTTTCCTCAAATTTGTCTTCGTTTACAATGCTTTTGACCAGTTGAGACATTTGAAGGGTTGAAAATTAGAAGGCATGTTCTGAACTCTTCATTCTTAAGAGAGAATAGCTGATGATTTGAATCCATCATACGTAGTGGTAAACGTTGAGAGCAGCAGTTGCCATCATAAGAGGGAAAAGCTTGTGGAACTTTGGAAGCAATGCATGCTGCCTTGGTTCATTGGATCTCCTTCCTTCCAGAGTCAAGACTGGAGATCCATCCAAGAAGGATTCCTTGGTTTCTCGGTGAACAATTTGATGATGGATTATATAGCATGGGATGAAGCCAGTTGCAGAAATTGTTTGTGCTCTATGCATCTTTCACAGCTCTTGTGAACATTCATCAACCAAATTCAAGAACACCGAGCATGCTGAACTCTGTTTCTTCCTTTCTTCCTCTCGAATTTTGGTACAAACAGCCAATATTTTCAAGATTCAATATGCAGAGCCCGGTCAGCTAACATGAACCGAGAGAGAGAGAATATTCTTCGAAAATTTTTATTTTCAAGAATAACTTTTATAACAACCTCTCGAGTCAAAACGTTTTTTTCCGCTTAGACTCTCATTGTATTATGGAAAAGAAGTCATTGATGTCCTAATCAACCCAATGTGATCCAAACCCGTATACACAGATTGTTTGAGATAACACTGAGATCAAAACGTTGAGCTCTCAAATATCACCTATACTCAAACTGAGATTGAGAGAGGTTTCTCGATCCGATCCTTCTGATGTTCAAGTTAGTAACACAAGGCATATGGGTTATCTCTCCCTTATCACCCATGTAGATAAGAGACTAATGAGAGATCGTTGGAAGCAGTTAGAGACTGCCTCCTCATAGAATATTCTGTTTATTTATGACTAAGTATAAAAGATGAATATCACTTTTTTGACCACTCGCATCTATACTCATATATCTCGGGTTATTAATCTAGATATTGAAGCGATCGAAACAAAAAACCTCTTTCGATCTCAATTTGTATGCAAATAACACATCGTGTAATATCCCTCGTTTTTGAAAATTATTAATAAAGATTTATTTATAAATCGGGGGACCTATATGTAAATATGAAAATTTCAAGGACTAAACTGCTAAGTTGCAAAATGAAAAGAAAATAAAGAAAACCGAAAATTTCGGTTTTATCCCACCGCCTCCCACGCACTCTCTGTTTCTTCGAGCGGTGGGGCGTGAGGAGAGAAGAAAGAAGAAGAAGAGGGAAAAGAAGAGAGGAGGAAGAGGGAGAAGAGAAGAAAAGAAGAAGAAGAAGAAGAAGAAGAGAGGGAAGATGGAGAGGAGAGGGAGAGGCAGCAGCAGCAGCTAGGGCTGCTGCACCTCTGTTTCCCGCAGGTGGAAACAGAGGAGAGGATGTGTGGGGCGTTGGGGAGGAGAAGGGAAGAAGAAGAAGAAGAAGATAGGAGGATAGCTGCGGCAAGGCTGCAGCGAGGAGGTGTGTGGCGTTGGGGAGGAAAAGGGAAGAGGAGAAGAAGAGAAGGAGAA